ATCCTCCCTGGTAACTGCTAAACTAGTCGACCTGTCCTCGTCCCCACCCACATAGACTTGTTCGGCTAAAGGCATATTGTTAAGTTCCTCTTTAGTAAATACAGATATAAAATATTTATTAAAAATACTACTAAATACGAGGCAGCTCCTATTTATAACCAACCAATCTCATTCATATATGTCTAACCTACGCTTGAAACAATGAAGGGATCTTAATTCTATTACGTTAGACGGTAATTGGTTCCACAAATCAACAACCCTGTTACCGAACCAGTATTTACTCAGGTCTTTCCTAAATCTAAACTTATCCAATTTATTACCATTGTTTCGTGTTCTGTCTTGTGTTGATACTTTTAATACCCTATTAATATCCCCCCTTGTTATGTCCATTCATCCACTTGTAAACCTCTATCATGTCACCCCTAAATCATCATCATCATTAAGGGCAAGCCATGATGGTGCGTGACCAAGGCGGGGCGCTGGCATCACTCCCCGACAAGAGAGTGATCGTACCAACCCCCGAACTTAACGTTCCTCCCCGACAAGAGAGTGATCGTACCAACCCCCGAACTTAACGTTCCTCCCCGACAAGAGAGTGATCGTACCAACCCCCGAACTTAACGTTCCTCCCCGACAAGAGAGTGATCGTACCAACCCCCGAACTTAACGTTCCTCCCCGACAAGAGAGTGATCGTACCAACCCCCGAACTTAACGTTCCTCCCCGACAAGAGAGTGATCGTACCAACCTCCGAACTTAGCTTTCCTCCGGCACACATTGTCGACGAAGTATCCTTATGCCAGCGCACCCGCCGCCGCCACCAGACCCCTGCCGTCTGTGGGTGGGAGAGACGGCAGCTACGGGGAGGGGTAGAAGGTGGTTAAGAGGGAGAAGGGCCGCTAATTGTCGCACACACACTGGTATAGCTACCTCATCCCTTTGTGTGTATTTTACCTCAATAAACTTATTTCAATTTTAATTTCACACTGGTATGGTGCACCTTGTACTCTACCCCGTACTGCCATATTGTTTATGACGGATATATTGGTGGATAATTACGCGACCTCCCGATGGAAAGGCCTGGGAATCAAATCCCTTTTCAATTTATATTTACAATATATGTAATTTGTGCGTAATTATCTGACATAAATCCTGCACTTTAGCGGAGGGGTGTGCCCATTACCTGGGTAGAGGTCCCAGTGCATTACTTTGTCCATTACTTAAAGCGACCTTCACGACAACTGTTGTATAGCTTGAGTATACCTGGAATGGATTCTGGAAGTTCTACTCTCCAAGCCCAGCCAGGGGGACCCAGGCTAGTCTTGTGATAATTTAATTCAAAAGACTGTTGCTTGGAGCGGCCCGCATCAGAACCACACATGCACAACAACCCAGTTGGTCCGGCAGTTCCAGCGGTAACTTAGCTAATGGTCTCTTGACCACGTCCACTAGTAAATAAGTGTCAATAACATATAAATAACGTGCTGTATTTACACTAGTCAGAGCATAGCTATACTTACATGTATAGTGTTCCTGATTACACATGACTAATGACCCAATTGTGTTATGACCTAGTAAACTAGCACACCAATCACAGTGTCTTAATGGAAGGGACAATGAAATAATTGGTTTAGCTAATTACATTAAGGGATAATGAGGCGAATTGGTCAGATGAACAGTCAACGTCTGAAGGAGTTGGTGATGAATTGAAGGAGAGTGGCCACCATCTCTCACCTATTTGTGCTTGCGGGGTTTGAGCTCTGGCTCTTTGGTCCCGCCTCTCAACTGTCAATCAACTGGTGTACAGATTCCTGAGCCTATTGGGCTCTATCATATCTACACTTGAAACTGTGTATGGAGTCAGCCTCCACCACATCACTTCCTAATGCATTCCATCTGTTAACTACTCTGACACTGACAAAGTTCTTTCTAACGTCCCTGTGGCTCATGTGGGTACTCAGTTTCCACCTGTGTCCCCTTGTTCGCATACCACCAGTGTTAAACAGTTTATCCTTATCTACCCCTGTCAATTCCTCTGAGAATTTTGTAGGTAGTGATCATGTCTTTCCTTACTCTTCTGTCTTCCAGTGTCGTGAGGTGCATTTCACGCAGCCTGTCCTCATAACTCAAGCCTCTTAGTTCTGGGACTAGTCTAGTGGCATACCTCTGAACTTGTCCAGCTTCTTCTTGTGCTTGACAAGGTACGGGCTCCATGCTGGGGCTGCATATTTCAGGACTGGTCTTACATACGTGATGTACAAGGTTCTGAAAGATTCCTTACACAGGTTCCTGAAGGCAGTTCTGATGTTAGCCAGCCTCGAATATGCCGCAGTAGTTATTCTATTTATGTGGGCTTCAGGCAACAGGTTTGGTGTGATATCAACTCCTAGATCTTTCTCTCTGTCCGTTTCATGAAGGATTTCCCCTCCCATTCGGTATCCCGTGTCTGGCTTCCTGTTTCCTCCACCTAGTTTCATCACCTTACATTTACTTGGGTTGAACGTTAGTAGCCATTTGTGGTGTGTGTATTCACCTAGTTGTGCTTGTGCACCTAGTTCATTCCCACACACACAGGAAGCAGCCCGTAACAGCTGTCTAACTCCCAGGTACCTATTTACCGCTAGGTAACAAGGGCATCAGGGTGAAAGAAACTCTGCCCATTTGTCTCTGCCGCCGGGAATCGAACCCTGGGCCACAGGATTACGAGTACAGCGCGCTATCTACTCAACTACCAGACCCCTTATTTTGTGTGTGTACTCACCTATTTGTGCTTGCAGGATCGAGCATTGACTCTTGGATCCCGCCTTTCCAGCCATCGGTTGTTTACAGCAATGACTCCTGTCCCATTTCCCTATCATACCTAATTTTAAAAGTATGAATAGAGTTTGCTTCCACAACCTGTTCCCCAAGTGCATTCTATTTTTCCACTACTCTCACGCTAAAAGAAAACTTCCTAACATCTCTGTGACTCATCTGAGTTTCCAGTTTCCACCCATGTCCCCTCGTTCTGTTATTATTACGTGTGAACATTTCAACTATTTCCACTTTGTCAATTCCCATGAGTATTTTATATGTTCCTATCATATCTCCTCTCTCCCTTCTTTTCTCTAGTGTCGTAAGGTTCAATTCCCTCAGACGTTCTTCATATCCCATCCCTCGAAACTCTGGGACAAGCCTCGTCGCAAACCTCTGAACCTTCTCAGTTTCCTTATGTGTTTCTTCAGGTGGGGGCTCCATGATGGCGCGGCATACTCTAAGACGGGTCTCACGTAGGCAGTGTAAAGCGCCCTAAAAGCCTCCTCACTTAGGTTTCTGAATGAAGTTCTAATTTTCGCCAGTGTAGAGTACGCTGCTGTCGTTATCCTATTTATATGTGCCTCGGGAGTTAGATTAGGTGTCACATCCACTCCCAGATCTCTTTCTCGAATCGTTACAGGTAGGCTGTTCCCCTTCATTGTGTACTGTCCCTTTGGTCGCCTATCACCTGATCCCATTTCCACAACTTTACATTTACTGGTGTTGAACTCCAGTAGCCATTTCCCTGACCATCTCTGCAACCTATTTAAGTCCTCTTGGAGGATCCTACAATCCTCATCTGTCACAACTTTTCTCATTAATTTTGCGTCATCCGCAAACATTGACATGTATGATTCCACTCCTGTAAACATATCATTTACGTAAATTAGAAAGAGGAATGGTCCCAGCACCGATCCTTGAGGTACTCCACTTGTTACTGTTCGCCAGTCCGACTTCTCCCCCCTTACCATTACCATTGTGTGTATGTGTGTGTGTGTGTGTGTGTGTGTGTGTGTGTGTGTGTGTGTGTGTGTGTGTGTGTGTGTGTACATAGGTATGAACAGTTGTTTCGGTGGAGTTATTATATGAGTGCAGTAATGTAGGCACTCAGCGTGCTTCTGTGAGTATATATGCTGGTATGGGCGTGTGAATATGTATGACAGTCAGACTTGGTGTGTGTACTCACCTAGTTGAACTCACCTAGTTGTGCTTGCGGGGGTTGAGCTTTGGCTCTTTGGTCCCGCCTCTCGACCGTCAATCAACTGGTGTACAGGTTCCTGAGCCTACTGGGCTCTATCATATCTACATTTGAAACTGTGTATGGAGTCAGCCTCCACCACATCACTGCCTAATGCATTCTGCCTGTTAAGTACTCTGGCACTGAAAAAGTTCCTTCTAACGCCTCTGTATCTCATTTGGGTACTCAGCTTCCACCTGTGTCCCCTTGTGCGTGTGCTACCCGTGTTAAATAATCCATCCTTGTCCACCCTGTCACTTCCCCTGAGAATTTTGTATGTGGTGATCATGTCTTCTCTTACCTCTTCTGTCTTCCAGCGACGTGAGGTGCAGTTCACGTAATCGGTCCTCATAACTCATGCCTCTTAGCTCTGGGACTAGCCTAGTGGCATACCTCTGAACTTTTTCCAGCTTCGTCTTGTGCTTGCCTAGATACCATATGAATACAAATGCATGATTACATAAGTATGCATGAGTATAGAGGTATGCGTGAGAATGGTTGGCCATGCATGTATAAGCGTGAGTGTGGAGTGACAATAGGCCTGGCTGGGCTGGTATCTGGAATCAGCACACGGCTCCGTGTGGCTCTCTGCCGTCTCCCACATATTGATTCCCAGCCTGGACCTCACCCACTCACTGCCATAAGCCCACACCAATCTCCCATCACACCGCTCCCATCACACGCGCCACCCACGCTCTTTCTCTCCCAGACATCAGTGCCCAAATTTAGCGAAGGGTGGAAGGCGGGAGCGTCGGGCTAGGCAAGTATTGGTTCAAATTCCCGCCCAGAGGTTCTCTGTGGGTGTCTTTGCTGAAGGAGTTGCGTACAAGCCTCGCAGGCAGCCGGCCTGGCCCTATTTATCGATTTTGCCAAGTCTCCGCCGATGTGCCCTTCGCTCTGATTGGAGGAGAGGTGGCATTGATCAGCGGCGGGACCAATGGCGGCGGGTGTAAGAGTGTTGGCATGTGGACCAGCGGGGGGGTTGAGCTAATCGGTGTGCTGCTGGAGGAAGATCAGTCTGGCAGGTACGGACGCTTCTGGGCCAGCAGCCGCAAGAATTTTGTGTGTGTGCCTTTCTGGAGTATATTCTGGGTGTTGAGGCCAGCCCCAGCGGGCCCCAGGCGACTCGCTGACCACACGGAGTGGCAGGTAGAGTGTGGTGGAGCCTTACCAGTGTATTGATCTGGGAGTGTGACGCCACCATCTTCCAGTGCAGCGACAGGCGGCCACACACCACCATGGAGTCGTAAACACTCTCCCGCTTCTCACACTCTCACACCAACTACCATCACTCTCGCTCCTCTCCACAAGCTAAGAAGGTGAGTGGGAGACGGGGCACAGGGCGGCCAGAGGGCTGCCAGAGGGCTGGGTGGGGCACGCCATCAGATAAATGTGGCAGGGTGCCATAGTGGGCTGCAGCCATCAGCTGGAGACGGCACCACTGCCCACCTCGCCCACACCTCCACAACCCACCCCGTGGGCTGAACAACCTTGCAGATCCTTAGGTGCTACAACCGCTATGTGGGGTATGAGCCCCATAACACCAGCCACAGTGTGGTATGAGCCCCATAACATCAGCCACAGTGTGGTATGAGCCCCATAACACCAACCATAGTGTGGTATGAGCCCCATAACACCAAACATGGTGTGGTATGAGCCCCATAACACCAACCATAGTGTGGTATGAGCCTCATAACACCAAACAAGGTGTGGTATGAGCCCCATAACACCAACCAGAGTGTGGTATGAGCCCCATAACACCAACCAGAGTGTGGTATGAGCCCCATAACACCAAACATGGTGTGGTATGAGCCCCATAACACAAACCATAGTGTGGTATGAGCCTCATAACACCAACCATAGTGTGGTATGAGCCTCATAACACCAACCGTAGTGTGGTATGAGCCCCATAACACCAAACATGGTGTGGTATGAGCCCCATAACACCAACCATGGTGTGGTATGAGCCCCATAACACCAAACAAGGTGTGGTATGAGCCCCATAACACCAACCAGAGTGTGGTATGAGCCCCATAACACCAACCAGAGTGTGGTATGAGCCCCATAACACCAAACATGGTGTGGTATGAGCCCCATAACACCAACCATAGTGTGGTATGAGCCTCATAACACCAACCATAGTGTGGTATGAGCCTCATAACACCAACCGTAGTGTGGTATGAGCCCCATAACACCAAACATGGTGTGGTATGAGCCCCATAACACCAACCGTAGTGTGGTATGAGCTCCATAACACCAACCGTAGTGTGGTATGAGCCCCATAACACCAAACATGGTGTGGCATGAGCCCCATAACACCAGCCACAGTGTGGTATGAGCTTCATAACACCAACCACGGTGTGGTATGAGCCCCATAACACCAACCGTAGTGTGGTATGAGCCCCATAACACCAACCATAGTGTGGTATGAGCCCCATAACACAACCCATAGTGTGGTATGAGCCCCAATAACACCAACCGTAGTGTGGTATGAGCCCCATAACACCAACCATAGTGTGGTATGAGCCCCATAACACAAACCATAGTGTGGTATGAGCCCCATAACACCAACCATAGTGTGGTATGAGCCCCATAACACCAACCATAGTGTGGTATGAGCCCCATAACACCAACCATAGTGTGGTATGAGCCCCATAACACCAATCATAGTGTGGTATGAGCCCCATAACACAAACCATAGTGTGGTATGAGCTCCATAACACCAATCATAGTGTGGTATGAGCCCCATAACACCAATCATAGTGTGGTATGAGCCCCATAACACAAACCATAGTGTGGTATGAGCCCCATAACACCAATCATAGTGTGGTATGAACCCCATAACACCAAACAGAGTGTGGTATGAGCCCCATAACACCAAACATGGTGTGGTATGAGCCCCATAACACCAACCATAGTGTGGTATGAGCCCCATAACACCAAACATGGTGTGGTATGAGCCCCATAACACTAACCATGGTGTGGTATGAGCCCCATAACACCAACCGTAGTGTGGTATGAACCCCATAACACCAAACATGGTGTGGAATGAGCCCCATAACACCAACCATGGTGTGGTATGAGCCCCATAACACCAACCAGAGTGTGGTATGAGCCCCATAACACTAACCGTAGTGTGGTATGAGCCCCATAACACCAAACATGGTGTGGTGTGAGCCCCATAACACCAACCATAGTGTGGTATGAGCCTCATAACACTAACCGTAGTGTGGTATGAGCCCCATAACACCAAACATGGTGTGGTATGAGCCCCATAACACCAACCATGGTGTGGTATGAGCTCCATAACACCAACCGTAGTGTGGTATGAGCTCCATAACACCAATCATAGTGTGGTATGAGCCCCATAACACCAAACATGGTGTGGTATGAGCTCCATAACACCAATCATAGCGTGGTATGAGCCCCATAACACCAACCGTAGTGTGGTATGAGCTCCATAACACCAACCATGGTGTGGTATGAGCCCCATAACACCAACCGTAGTGTAGTATGAGCTCCATAACACCAACTACGGTGTGGTATGAGCCCCATAACACCAACCGAAGTGTGGTATGAGCCCCATAACACAAACCATAGTGTGGTATGAGCCCCATAACACAAACCATAGTGTGGTATGAGCCCCATAACACCAACCATAGTGTGGTATGAGCCCCATAACACCAACCATAGTGTGGTATGAGCTCCATAACACCAATCATAGTGCGGTATGAGCCCCATAACACCAACCATAGTGTGGTATGAGCCCCATAACACAAACCATAGTGTGGTATGAGCCCCATAACACCAATCATAGTGTGGTATGAGACCCATAACACCAACCATAGTGTGGTATGAGCCCCATAACACAAACCATAGTGTGGTATGAGCCCCATAACACCAATCATAGTGTGGTATGAGACCCATAACACCAGCCATAGTGTGGTATGAGCCCCATAACACAAACCATAGTGTGGTATGAGCCCCATAACACCAATCATAGTGTGGTATGAGCCCCATAACACAAACCATAGTGTGGTATGAGCCCCATAACACCAATCATAGTGTGGTATGAGCCCCATAACACCAAACATGGTGTGGTATGAGCTCCATAACACCAATCATAGCGTGGTATGAGCCCCATAACACCAAACACGGTGTGGTATGAGCCCCATAACACCAACCATAGTGTGGTATGAGCTCCATAACACCAAACATGGAGTGGTATGAGCCCCATAACACCAAACATGGTGTGGTATGAGCCCCATAACACCAAACATGGAGTGGTATGAGCCCCATAACACCAAACATGGTGTGGTATGAGCCCCATAACACCAACCGTAGTGTGGTATGAGCTCCATAACACCAACTACGGTGTGGTATGAGCTCCATAACACCAAACATGGTGTGGTATGAGCCCCATAACACCAAACATGGTGTGGTATGAGCCCCATAACACCAAACATGGTGTGGTATGAGCCCCATAACACCAAACATGGTGTGGTATGAGCCCCATAACACCAAACATGGAGTGGTATGAGCCCCATAACACCAAACATGGTGTGGTATGAGCCCCATAACACCAACCGTAGTGTGGTATGAGCTCCATAACACCAACTACGGTGTGGTATGAGCCCCATAACACCAACCGAAGTGTGGTATGAGCCCCATAACACAAACCATAGTGTGGTATGAGCCCCATAACACAAACCATAGTGTGGTATGAGCCCCATAACACCAAACATGGTGTGGTATGAGCCCCATAACACCAACCGTAGTGTGGTATGAGCTCCATAACACCAACTACGGTGTGGTATGAGCTCCATAACACCAAACATGGTGTGGTATGAGCCCCATAACACCAAACATGGTGTGGTATGAGCCCCATAACACCAACCATGGTGTGGTATGAGCCCCATAACACCAACCATAGTGTGGTATGAGCCCCATAACACCAAACATGGAGTGGTATGAGCTCCATAACACCAAACATGGTGTGGTATGAGCCCCATAACACCAAACATGGTGTGGTATGAGCCCCATAACACCAAACATGGAGTGGTATGAGCCCCATAACACCAAACATGGAGTGGTATGAGCCCCATAACACCAAACATGGTGTGGTATGAGCTCCATAACACCAAACATGGTGTGGTATGAGCCCCATAACACCAAACATGGTGTGGTATGAGCCCCATAACACCAACCATAGTGTGGTATGAGCCCCATAACACCAAACATGGAGTGGTATGAGCCCCATAACACCAAACATGGTGTGGTATGAGACTCATAACACCAAACATGGTGTGGTATGAGCCCTATAACACCAAACATGGTGTGGTATGAGACTCATAACACCAAACATGGTGTGGTATGAGCCCCATAACACCAAACATGGTGTGGTATGAGACTCATAACACCAAACATGGTGTGGTATGAGCCCCATAACACCAAACATGGTGTGGTATGAGACTCATAACACCAAACATGGTGTGGTATGAGCCCTATAACACCAAACATGGTGTGGTATGAGCCTCATAACACCAAACATGGTGTGGTATGAGCCTCATAACACCAAACATGGTGTGGTATGAGCCCCATAACACCAAACATAGTGTGGTATGAGCCTCATAACACCAAACATGGTGTGGTATGAGCCTCATAACACCAAACATGGTGAAGTATAATATATTAGCCTAGAGGACACAGCACGGTGCTCGGTAATAAATTATTTTCAGATTTTGTTTAGTACCTGGTGTTATAGTGGGTGTGGGGAGAGTACTGGTGCTATAGTGGGTGTGGGGGAGAGTACTGGTGCTATAGTGGGTGTGTGGGAGAGTACTGGTGTTATAGTGGGTGTGTGGGAGAGTACTGGTGTTATAGTGGGTGTGTGGGAGAGTACTGGTGTTATAGTGGGTGTGTGGGAGAGTACTGGTGTTATAGTGGGTGTGGGGGAGAGTACTGGTGTTATAGTGGGTGTGGGGGAGAGTACTGGTGTTATAGTGGGTGTGGGGGAGAGTACTGGTGTTATAGTGGGTGTGTGGGAGAGTACTGGTGTTATAGTGGGTGTGTGGGAGAGTACTGGTGTTATAGTGGGTGTGGGGGAGAGTACTGGTGTTATAGTGGGTGTGTGGGAGAGTACTGGTGTTATAGTGGGTGTGTGGGAGAGTACTGGTGTTATAGTGGGTGTGGGGAGAGTACTGGTGCTATAGTGGGTGTGGGGGAGAGTACTGGTGTTATAGTGGGTGTGGGGAGAGTACTGGTGTTATAGTGGGTGTGGGGAGAGTACTGGTGCTATAGTGGGTGTGTGGAGAGTACT